AAGAAAAGGGAAGAGAAGGGAAGAGAAAAAAGAAATTAACTCTGTAGGAGAATTTTTTTTAATTCTCTTTTTTTTTAAAGGCTGAACTTTAAGAAGAATTTGCCTCTAGGTTTGTTGTTCAATTCTGGGTGATCTGTGGTGAGCAGAGGGGAAAATGAGGAGTCAGGGAAAAAACAGAATGGCAAGTAAAGGAGGAAAGAGAAAAGGGGAAAAAAAAGTAAAAGATGAGCAGTTTTTCTGGTATTAAAAAGTTTACAACTTGTATTCCAAGTTAAATTTTTTTTTTTCAATTAAGAAGCATTTGTGATTAACTAGAATTAACGATTACTTTACCTGCCTGTTTAGAAGATGTTTAATTTTCAAAGGGTTACAGAACTTTATTAATATAGGTGCAAAGGCCTCTTTACTTTCAATTTTCCAGAAGAAAATAAGCTGCAGGCAAGACTCTCACAACCAGCATCTATTCATGCTCTCAGGTATGTCTACTCACCCTTATCTTTATGCTTTTGGGCTTAGAAACCAAAAGTTTTTGAGTAAAACAAACGCTGATTCATCTGATTTAAATATAGACACAAAAATTTTTAAGTGACATATGAATTCTCCTTAGAGAACTTGCAGAGAAACTAAACTGATTCTTTTGTTGTTTTATGGCATAAAATTTCATTTTAAATAACAAAACACTATGAACAATACTAACTGTTTTAACATGTATGTTACATCTCATGGTCAGCACAATTCACTTTTTTTGCTAAGTATAATTTAGAACTGAAAGATTGTTATTTTCTTACCTAAAGAAGAAATTATAGTAACCAAATAAGGCATGTAAATCACAGTATTACCTTAAAAGATTTTCCAATCTAAGGTTTCCATGACACATAGTATCTGTTCACAAATTATTTTTCCTTCTTCATCTACCCCTTCACTATGCCTACAACATCTAATCTCCATCTTTCCTCTTACTTCTTCCCTCCTTGTGGTCAGCCATGTCTGAAGGATTAAGATATTTCCTGACAAAGTTCTTCAGGTCTTCAGTTTGCCCTTTTGAAATCTATTTAGACACTGAAAAGAAAGTAACAAGGGCCCCTGGCTCTTTAAGAGAAAGTAAGACCAGGGAAAGAGCCCAGAGATTTTTGTCAGACTAAGACTTTACTGTTCCCTCTCTCAGATAGAAAGTTCACATTATGTGGCCCAATTTCTACCAGGGGGATGTCAGAAATCGGTGTTTAACTTGGGGAAAAAAAATCAGGACTGCCTAGGGCCACTTAAGAGACAACAGCTGGTCTCTATATGCTTGGTGTAATAGAAAACAGTAACCCAGGAATTGGAGAAAGAAATGGACTACATATGGGTAAATGCCTTTATGAACTACGACCTCCCAAGCCACGTAATCAGGAAAAAAATGGCACCTGCCAGGAAAACAAACAGATTCATCCTAGAGAGGGTTAAACCAGGCTGCTCCTTGGAGGCAAGGATTCTGGGGCTTCGCGTGGCATACTTTGGACATGTTGTAAGGAGAGACAGGTCTTTAGAGAGGGACATCATGCTGGGTAGAGTGGAGGGACGGCGCAGGAGGGAAAGACCCTCTATGAGGTGGATTGATTCAGTGACTGGGGTAATCGGGATGGGTGTGTCAGAGGCAATGAGAATGGCACGGGATAGAGCACGGTTTAGGGCTGTTGTACATAGGGTCGCTATGAGTTGCAAACAACTCGACGGCACATAACAACAACAACACAAGTAATCACTATTGAACATTTTGATCAAGGACCCAATTGGAGAACCTTGATCAACAGAAGGAAAAATGCAGAACATTAAATACCCATGGACATGAAAATTATTGGATATAAGGAGACTTGGAGAACCCTAACTCTATTATTCTGAAACAATCTTAAACCAAACTATCCCCATAAAGTCATCTGTAAATAAATCAATAATTAAGAAAGTTTCTGCTCAATTGATTGAAAAGTTTGCTCTTTTAAGAATTATCTATATGTCAACAAATCAACAGCAACTCTAAAGCACCTATGAAAACTTTAAGGGCACAGACAATAAAAGGTAATGGGGTTAAAAACCGTATGGGTAAAGACAGTGGGAATGTGAAGTATGTAACAAATCACACTGATCTATAAATGTAGAATTATTGAATAGCGTTATGTTTTGTTGCTTATATTTTCACCAAAAATATTTAAAATTATTTAGCTGGAAAACAAAAAGCAGCAAACCTCCCTTTAATCCTATTTGAAAACCAACATCCACCTCTTTTCTTTCCTTCATTCCTACCCCAAAAGTAGCTGTAACACAACACACATCGTTGTTCCCCTATTCTTGTTGTGTTACACCCCAAAATAAAAGAACTCTGGCTGAATTCAGTATTAGTCTCTTACCCTGCCAGGAATGCTAATGAGTAGGAGTTGTTCTTGGAAACAAATGCCGACCGATGTGTCTGTATTATCTTGCCTCGGGAAGGTTCTTCGTTTTCTGAATCTGAGAGACGTGCAGGACACTGACAAGGAGAAAAGGGAGACAAGACTGTCCATCTGAGTTCCCACAGAAACTATATATCCCAAATGTAGCTAAACACAATACATCAAAAAATCTGTCTTAATCTAAGGCCCACTATTAGCTATCACTCCACCCACTCAGCCAGAAACTTCTATACCATCCTTTTTAGTAAAGCATTTATTTGCATGGAGCTTTTTGGTATACGAACATTTGTAGATACTTAATTTCATTTACTTATTATCAGTCAAATCAAGCAGGGATTATTATTTTCTTTTGTAGATGGCAAACCAAGGCTCAGAAGAGTTAATTTACCTAAGATTACAGACCAGAAAATGCTATAGGGTACACTGTTACCAAACAGTTCAACCAAACTATTTCCTACTTTGCTGAGGGAAGCTTTCAAATTCTCTGTATTTTTTGGTTTTAATTTTTATTTTATTCTGGTTAACTTACAAAGTCTAGATACATTGTTTTCCACACCAGCTCTTTCCCATTTCTTTTACCCATCCCTCCCTCTACCCATCAAATTGTGCGACACTTTGTTTAAGCCCTTTCCCATCCTCATCCCTCTGCTCCTGCCCTCCCCCCACTGGACCCTCATACACATTTTACTAGTCATCTTCTGGATGTGTCATTTTCCAATGCATAAAATTATCTTTCTCTGTTCTCTAATTACAAAATACTCCCTGGCCTTCTGGAGGTTACAATTTAGATAAAGGTTTTCCAATTCTTGTCTATACTAAATCACTTATTTTGTTTTTATAGTTTCTCTTTCATTATAGAGTTGGAATCTTTTCAATGTTACTTTTTATACATATCATATGAGATTTTGCCTTATTATTCAATATAAGCCCTTCTCATGTATAACAACTACTTATATTGAACTGTAATTTCTATTATTTATGTTTTAAAGTTTCTAAGTAATATTAGTTTTTCATAGGCATCTTGTTTTATAACATTAGTTGACACTGATTAATAAAATTAATTAATTACAATGTTTAATCATCCCCTTATTGTGAACTGTAACTTCTTATTTATGGGCCTGTTTTCCATTTTAGAAAATAAGTTTAGGAGAGCAAAGGATTTTAACAAAAAACAAAACAAAAACCTCCCAATACCATCAACAGATAAACAAACAAACAAAACGTTTAGTCATTTAATAATGGTTATCTAGCACAATGTCAATTAACTACAAATAATCAAATTATAATAAATTGAAAGTTGTAGACATACAGAGGCATAAGCATACATACATGTGGCTCAGAGTATCTGGCATTATTTCAATGTTTTAGTCTTATAGGTACATACCTACAACAGGCTGTGCTTGTTACCGGTTAGTCATTCAGGGAGAGTAAAAGATTACAATTCACATAGAAGCTTTTCAATTTTGTAGAGGGAATCACCCTGTCATACAAAATAATCACTGGAAAATGTTTAATTACATTAACTCATTATTGAATTTTATATGGCATTCTCTAGCTAACTTTGGGAAAACAGAACAAGCTCTGATACCATGAACTCAACAGAAAATAAAGAATTAGCAACTTCTATATAAGCCTTCCCTCACAATCAGTTCAAAGACAAGTAAAAAAAAATCAAGCTCATTACTGTTCAATCTGTTCAAGCCTGATAGCAACCCTCCATCAGGTTTCCAAGCCAGTAAATCTTCACCAGAAGAGAATGCTCATCCTTCTCACACTGGTTGATTCGAACAACTGAGCTTTTGATTTGTAGCCTGACATATTATGCACTATATCACCAGAGTTCCTTGTGCCAGATAAAAGAATATTCAGATCACAGCTTTACTACTTAGCTATCACTGTCACTGTATGTTCCTTTCTCTTTCTAACACTCAGTTTCCTTATCTATAAAATAAAGACGTAGTAAATGACAGTAAATTACATAGGTTGTGGTATTGGAGAATATAGAGTATCTCACAGACTTCCAAGTGAACAAACAAGTCTATCTTGGAGAAAACGCAACCAAAGTGCTCCTTAGAGGCAAGGACACTGAAACATATTTGGGCTTGTTGATAGGAGGGACTAGTCCTTGAGAAAACACATCATACTGGACCAGTTAAAGGGTGAGTGAAACATGGGAAGACTCTCAACAAGAGAGACTGACCCAGTGACTGTAACAATGGGCTGAAGCATATCAGAGATCATAAGGATAGGACAGAAGAAGGTCAAGTTCAGATCTGTCAGTTGATAGGGCCTCTATCAGTCGTAGTCCACTCAATGGCATCTAATAATAACAATATACTGGCTAACAAGTGGGAAGTCCTCAACTAAAAAGAAGTTTTGTTTGTATTAATTTTTTAATCTTTATGAGATAGTGTTGTTTAAAAAACCAAAATATCCACAGGAGATAAACGACATAAACTAGATAAAAAATCTATTCCAAGAATACTAGCAAACCATTAAATAATGAGGATTCTTTATTTTTATGTAAAGACAACCATGATTTATAGTTTAGTAGAAAAAGTATGCACTGGATTGGTTACATTTTCTAAAAAGGAAAACAATTAAAGTTTATGTACATATGTGTTTAGAAAAGAAGCCTCCAAGAATCTTTACCAAAATGTAAATATAAAGGGGTTATCTCTGGGTTAAATTATTACAAGTTATTTTCACTTTCTTTCTTATAATTTTTGGTAAGAATACAATTGCTTACCAAATAGAATTTTTTGGTAAAAATATAATTGCTGTACTAACATGTTTTCTAACAACTTACACTGTAATACTGTTCTATAATAAATTACAAAATTTAAACTCTGTACTCATTTCCATTTTGAAAAAAATAACAGATGATGACAGCTGTTTCTAGAATAAATATTTCCCCCCTTCCACTCTAATTCAATGTAATAAATGTAGGAAATTTTAAAACAAATTTTTAAGGACAGGCATGACACATTTTCTACACTCAATAAATTTAGAATCTAGTAAACAAGTAACTGTAATTTAAGAGAGAATGAAATAAGTCCTGTATATGTTGCAAAAGAAGAGATCAAGAAGGATGATGAGAATGTAGAAGTCAGTGAAGAATCCCTAAAAGGTCTACGAAAGTGACAACTTTTGAACTGAGCATAGAATATGAGCAGCTTATAGGCAAATGGGCAAGCATTCCATGAGACAAAAATTCTAGGTTTTAAGAAAGGAAGAAAAATGAGAATTATACTGAATGTTACAGAGTTTTCATTTAATTCCACAGGTATTAAGGCA